ACTTGACTGACTCGATGGCAGTTGTTGAGTCAAGCTGATGACTCTTGTGGCGCTGGCCTAGCGTAGCGTAGCGTAGCGGTGCGGTGGTGGTTGGAGTTGATCGTTGAGATTGATTCATAGTGGAGTCTTTGAGTCTGCATCGAGAAAATTATATCGAAGGCTTTACTTACTCTGACTCAAAGTAAACACACACGAGCAAACCACACTCCCAACCGCCCTATTTAATGCGCATCCTGGGCTGCTGCAGGTCTCTATGGCAAAGGAAGAGTAGCTACAGCGTCCTCGTCCTGCCCACTGCCTTTCCGCCTGCTCTTTGTCGTCCGTTTTCCGGCGTGCCACTCCCTCCGCCCGCTGCCATGGCGCATCAAGACGCCCACGAAGTCCTCCAGCTCGTGCAGAGACTCGAGGCAGCGCAGAAGAAACAAGTCAAGCGCGCGTTCACCTGCAAGAAGTCGACCTTTGAAGTCGCGGGGTCAGACATCACCGTTGATTCGTGGCGGTTCCAGGACTGGGACTACAAGAACCGCGGGCTGCCTACCTATGCGCGAGGCCTCTTCACCACCACCAACCGTGCGGGAAAGCCAGAGATTGCAGTCAGGGGTTACGACAAGTTCTTTAACATCGAGGAAGTCAACTTGACGCGCTGGAGGAATATCGAGGTTAATACCCGGGGACCCTACGAGTTGAGCGTCAAGGAGAATGGCTGCATCATCTTCATATCCGGCCTGGAGGACGGCACGCTGCTGGTCTGCAGCAAGCATTCTACGGGCTCGCGGCAGGATATGGAGATGAGCCATGCTGAAGTCGGTCGGGCCTGGGTCAGGAAGCATGTCGAGTCCGTGGGCAAGACGGAGCGGGATCTTGCTAGAGAACTACGCAGCATGAATGCCACTGCTGTAGGAGAGCTGTGTGACGACAGCTTCGAAGAGCATGTCCTGGCCTACTCGGAGGAAGAATCGGGTATCTACCTGCACGGCATCAACTATAACCTGCCTGAATTCGCTACCGTCAGGAGCCCGGACGTGCACCGCTTTGCAGACGCTTGGGGGTTCAAAAAGGCCCAGTTCCTCGTCAAAGACGACATTGAATCTGTCCGGACATTCCTTGAGGGATGTGCGGAGACGGGCTCCTGGGACGGTAGAGACACGGAAGGCTTCGTGATCCGCTGCCAGATGCGGGAGTCCAGCTCCCTGCCTTACCATGACTGGTTCTTCAAATACAAGTTTGAAGAACCCTACCTGATGTACCGTCAATGGCGAGAGGCAACCAAGAAGCTGATCTCAGGCAAACTGCCCACCATCAAGAAACACGTCAAGATCACAGAGGAGTATCTAAAGTATGCTAGAAAGCAGCTTGCAAAGGACCCAAAGCTAGCTAAGCTATACAACCAGAACCACGGCATCATCGCCATGCGTGATGGCTTCCTCAAGGAGCGAGGCCTCAAGGGCTCAGAGATTATAGCCATGGAGGCAGCTGAAGGTGGTGAGCTCGATGCTCCCCAGGACAAAGACTTTGTGCTTGTCCCCGTTGCCTCCATCGGCTGCGGCAAGACCACCTTGGCCGTTGCTCTCGTCAAGCTATTTGGCTGGGGCCATTTCCAAAACGACAATGTCGAAGGCAAAGGGAACAGACCTAAGCGGTTCGTTCAAGGGTTGGTTAACGAGCTGATGAACCATAGCTGCGTGATAGCGGACCGGAACAACCACCAGAGGCGTGAGAGGGAGCAGATCTTCACGGACATGCAGACTCTCGTGCCCAACGCCCACTTCATTGCGCTTCACTGGGTGCATGAGCCCAAGGGTGCATTGCTAGATGATATCCGACGGGTCACGCAGCAGCGAGTCCTCGACCGTGGGGATAACCACCAGACCATCCGCGCCGGAAGCAAGAGTGAAAGCGAGATATTGCAGATCATGGAGGGCTTCCTGCGTCGATTCGAAGGTGTCGATACTGCTCGTCAGCCAGACAGCCATTTCGAGGGAGTCATTGATCTAGACGTTGCCGCTTCCTCGAGAGAGAATCTAGAGACTATTGTAGACTACTTTTACGCCAATTATCCTAAGCTCATGAAACGGGATAAACCAGACGCCGCGGAGCTTGATGCAGCCATAAAAGAGGCCATGGAGGGATACACAGTTGATATCAAACATGATCTCAACTTCAAGTCCAAAAACCAGCCTCAGAAGCCGCAGCAGCAGCAACAGCAACAACAGCAACAAAACCAGAAGAATCAAAAACCCCAAACACTCGACCAGCTGGTCAAGAAAATCGAATACTTCAACATTTCCGTCCCCTCCGCCCCCATTCACTCAATCCTCTCCTCCATCTTTGACGCATCATCATCACCAGACTACGCACATCTATACCGTCTACTCACCAACTCCCGACGCATCCAGCCCTCATTCCACGTAACACTCATCCATCGTGCTTCCAGCACCGACAACCCCCAGATATGGCACACCTACACAGACCTATACAAGGCAGCAGTCGCCCAAGAACAACAGCAGCAGACCTCGTCGTCATCCGCTCCCTCGTTTCCAGGCTCAGCCACCGTTACAGGAACACCCACGCCAAGCCTAGGAACAGCTTCCGTCCGCCTCGAAACTCTCGTCTGGGATAAGCGTATCATGGCTATTGTTGCACGTATCTTGTCTGGCCCACCGGCCTTGGACACGACCACGGGGGTGGCGGCGGCGGCCTTGCCAATTTCAGGGGAGGCATACGGAGTTAGGCGAGAGGAAGAAGAAAGGCAAGGGGAAAGAGAGTTACCACCAACGTGGCCTTGTGCGAACGAGATTGCCCACGTTACGATCGGGACGGCAAATGCGAGCGTCAAACCGAAGGAGAGTAACGATTTGTTGAAGCGATGGCTTACGATGGGCGCGGGAGAAGAGAGTGGGATCTGGGAGGCGAAGATTCCTTCTGTTAAGGTTGTGGAGGGCTTCGTGGGGGTTGTGATGCGTAGGTAGATTGAGGTATCTGTTTGATATTCCGGAGTATAACTAGGTTGATGTTACAGAGACAAGAGTAATGTTGAACTCGGCTACTGGACGCACGCGAGAAAAAAGGGGTGAAAAAAAAAGGGGCATAAGTAAGGTACATGAAGCTTGAGATAAAAACGATAACTGAAATGAAAATATACGCTTGAGTGGCCAGCACGCTTATACCAATTACTACAGAGCATAACATAACGTACATAGCTATCAGAAGTTGGCTTAAAAGAGCAGGGGGGTATATATAGAAATGACGTACGTAAAGCAAAGCAAATAAAGGAAGCGAAGGGAAAAAGCACATTAATCGCTCATCCAGGCTGCAACTCTGCCTGTGCCGACACGAGCAACCATTCTTAAACCTGTATTGCCCATGGGGAAATAGCTTACGAGGTACCAGATGAGGGCCACGAGTTGGCAAACAGATGATATGAGCGTTAGAATAGTTGAGTGCAGCTATAGACGAGGACCCAGTTAGTGACGTTATCCGTTATACCTTGTTGCCGGGCGGAAAGATTATGTGGAACAAAAGTCGGATGTAGTGGACTGCGGAATAAGGGGAAGAGGGTGTGCAAAGAGTAAACACAGGTCTGAAGAGTGATGTCATATTGTCTACAAGCGCAGGACAGGGTAGCTCGAAGAGGGTGGTGGTATAGCTCAGGGGAGGCAGGGCTTAGCAAGGGCATCCGACGGGATGAAGAATAGAATGTGATATAGGGGTGTGTGTGCGTGGGTGTGTTCAAGGCTGCGGAAAGGCGGATGAAGTTGCAAGAGGCACAAGGAGAGCAGGGAGCAGGGAACAGGGAACAGGGGTGTTTTCCGTATCTTAAATTTATCTTTGGTACTTACACCGACGGCAAAATAAAGAGTCAGGGCGATGGAGGTAAAGTACGCGGCGGTGAATGGGAGCCGGGGACCTGATGTTAGATGTCTCGCGTACGGTACTGGGCCCATGAGAACAGCCCAGGAGGCGAGGAAGAGAGCAGAGCCAGACGACCATCTAGTAGATGCACGCGCGCGCACACGGACGAATATTAGTGATGTCCGTGACATGGAGTTGAAGATGGAAATAGCAACATCAGAGTGAGGTAAGGTACTAGCGTTGCAACAGTATTGGGTAGCAGAGGGTATCTCGAGATGCAAAAGAAAATACAGAGCAAGGGAGGGTGGGTGTGGCTTTGAATAGCAGTTAAGTTGAGAATAAAGGGTCATGCAGAGCTCCCGTCCGCTGCCTGCGAGCCTTGCCTTGTGATCTTCACAGGCAGAGAAGAAGAAGGAGTAAAGTTGACCAACAATGGAGTCTATGCGAAGAAGGCTGGCAGAAGAAGTAAAAATAAAAAAAAAGGCAGAAGCATAAGCCAGAAGTGAAAAAAAAAAAATGCAGAGCAAAAAGCTTACAAGATAGCAAACTTGCGCGGCTTCAGCATCAGCGGCATGATGAGGATGAAGTATATGGCAAAGCATACGAGAGCTCCGACGTTGCAAGCCGCGAAGATCAACATTCGGTCCCAGCGGGATACTAGACGATAGGATCCATGGTTAGCGCTTGTCTATTAGGGTACCAGAGGCGCGGTGCGGTGCGGTTCGAGGGTGGGCATGATAGCTTTGGCTGAATGAACGAAGGAATAGCGTTAAGGGTAGAGCGAACGAGCGAGATGGACCAAGCACAGCCCGACGTTCAAGCGAGGATGGAATTAAAAAGCAACGAAGTAGAAAGCAAAGATAAAAAAAAAAAAAAAGAAAAAGAAAAGAAAAGAGGAAAAGGGTGGAGAGAGAGAACGGCATGTGAAAGGGTAAATAGTAGGCCAGGATATCACAAGACGGGTTTTCTCGTTTTGGGAAGTAAGTATAAACAAGATGTAGAAATGGTGTGGGTGAGTGCAAGTATGAATGCGAATGCGATGGGAACAGATGAGTGAGATGAGAAAGGGAGAGATGGGCAGTGTGTGAGTGGGCGGTCGGCACTCACGAGCAAACCAGGCTTCCTCCTCCTCCCTTCTGGACGGAGCAGGTAAAGGCGCCGACGAGGCAGCGTTATCCGGTGAGAGCTGGACGTATCCACCGCGCCCACTGCCGAGCGGGTTCCATGACTGTATCTTGGAGAAGAAGGGGGTGCTGGTGTTTGACTGCGCCGGTGCAGACGTCTCACCACGCCTCGACCAGCCAAGCGAGTTTAACGAGTCGTGAAAGGAGGCTGAAGCCATGAGTGGTAGGAGAATATATTATATCCCGTATCCGCGGCGAGTATGGCTATTTGTTGTCTTCTCTCGTCGAATAGCGTGGGGCAAGGTGAATTATGTTGTATATTCTAGAAGCCCGACAGTTCCAGCGAGGACAGGCAGCCGTATAACAGAAAGGCGAAGGATAAACCGGATCCGGACGGGGACTAATCGAAGCGGTGCAACGCGGATCGCTGCAGCGGGAGTGAAAAGCAAGAATGCTGTAGTTCCCTTGCTGCACGGGTATGCAGTATGGATGCAGTGCAGCAGTCCTTGCAGTTC